GTAAAGTAGGGTAGGGTAGAGGTAAGGTAGGGTAAAGTAGAGAAGAGTAGATTGGGGTAGAGTAGATTAGGGTAAAGTAGAGTAGATTAGGGTAAAGTAGAGTAGGGTAGATTAGAGTAGAGTAGATTAGGGTAAAGTAGAGTAAGGTAGAGTAGATTAGAGTAAGGTAGGGTAGAGTAGAGTAGATTAGGGTAAAGTAGAGTAAGGTAGAGTAGATTAGAGTAAGGTAGGATAGAGTAGAGTAGATTAGGGTAAAGTAGAGTAGATTAGGGTAAAGTAGAGTAGGGTAGATTAGAGTAGAGTAGATTAGGGTAAAGTAGAGTAAGGTAGAGTAGATTAGAGTAAGGTAGCGTAGAGTAGAGTAGAGTAGATTAGGGTAAAGTAGAGTAAGGTAGAGTAGATTAGGGTAAGGTAGAGTAAGGTAGAGTAGAGTAGAGTAGAGTAGAGTAGATTAGGGTAAGGTAGAGTAGAGTAGATTAGGGTAAAGTAGAGTAAGGTAGAGTAGATTAGAGTAAGGTAGCGTAGAGTAGAGTAGATTAGGGTAAAGTAGAGTAAGGTAGAGTAGATTAGAGTAAGGTAGAGTAGAGTAGAGTAGAGTAGATTAGGGTAAGGTAGAGTAAGGTAGAGTAGGGCCAAGTAGGGTTGGTGAAAACAGGGCTTTTGACACGTTATTCAAACACTCTCAAACTAAATGTTTTTATAAATCACAACATGAAACTGCTCTAAAGTGAAGACCGTCTAAAACTCTTCACACAGACGGAGGACAGCTCCTCCGGCCGTCGTTACAAATCTTATCTGCGACCCACAGGATTATTCAGCGCCCTATAATAAAACTCTTAACTCTTTAACCACAGCGTATTAAATCTATATGGAGCGTCTAACTGAACTGTCTCTTTATGGTCCTCATGGCTCTGTCTCACCGCTCTCCCAATCTCCAGACTCGCACAAAACAGGCTAAAGTGGCAATCCCTTAATTAGCCGGGCGCGTTTTGAATCATGAAGCGTGTCATTAAAAGTCCTTCACTGCTCGCCCACTGCACATGAGGGAAGTTCTCCATCCATAATTCCATCCATATCTCCATCCATAACTCCATCCATAACTCCATCCATAACTCCATCACGCTATCAGAGACCGCGGCGTCCCGTAGGTGCTAATGGATTTATGCGGCCCTGTGTGGCTGTGATCTCATGAGAGCCACAGATTGTCATAATGTCTGTAATGTTTGTTGTTTTCACACATGTGTTTTTGGGGGAAATGGGTCCAGATTTCTGCACATCATGAAGGAAAGAGCAAGACTGACAGATGTGGCTGATCTGATTGGTCCAGCAACGAGACAAGTCAGAGAGAGAAAGCAGTGAGAGGGTGTGAGGCTGAGGCTGAGGGAAAATGTTTTATTTTTCATTTAAAGGGAGAAAAAAAATCCATCTTTTCTAAACTAGCCCATTCTTTGTAATTTTACATTGTTTTATATTCTAATAATGTTTGATGTTTTTAAATATATTGTAAGGCGTCCTTGTGTGTCTTGAAAGGCGCCATGAAATAAAATGAATTATTATTAATTAAAATAATGATAATAAAGTACAATAGATGATAAATAGATAATATAATAATAATAATTAATTGACTCCCACTGATGTCTTCTTTCGTTGTGTCCCACTTTGCCTGAAGCCCCCACTGAAAGATCTCAGCTCCTGTGGACTCAGCGCCTGCAGGAGGATCAGTGAGGGGCTGGTGCTCTGTGACTGCCACCCCCACCCAGACATGGATTAAGGGGAAGAAGATGGACAGGCATTTGGACAGATATGAATGAACTGAATGTGTAAATATAGAAATAGTGATTTTACACCAGACTTGGTTCAGGAAGCTGCAGAGTTCTCCTTTATCCAACTTTATCCCTGTTTCTACTTATTGTCCTCTACTTTGCTGAGCTCTACTCGAACCCGATTGGCGGAGTTCCCACTGGTCCTGTTAAACCGGTCCCAGGTACCTTTGAGTACCAGCTTGGCCCTGGTTCTATCCAGGCCGAGCTGGTGCTGAAGTGTTTCGACTGACACTGAATTGGTCGGAGAGTTTGTGGAAGCCGTGGTCTGAGAAAATTCCACGGAAACTGGCATAGGGAAATGTCAGTGTTGCATCACAAGTTAGACAGGTTGCAAGGGTAGAAATGGGGCCAGAAGTATTATTTGTATCTTATCTATTGAACATTTGCGTTTAATACTTCAGCTTGTCCTCACTTTAAAGGTTCACGTGTGTTTCTGAGTGTTTGAATCGTTCCTGCAGCTCCGAGTTTACTTCAATGAGACGTTTCTTATTCATGTAACGAATGTTCTGTTTGTGAAGGTCGCGGCCACTTTGAGTCCCACTGATGAAAACAATTTGTGTTTTCTTCCACTGAATGCACCATATTTTGCAAAGAAATAAAAACATATAAATAATGGGCACTTCATGGTTCTTTCCTTCCTCCTTGTTTTGTGTGATTCATTCAGTTTGGAAAGAACGGGGAAGAGTTTAACCAAATAGAACTTTAATGGACTTCCTGAGAGACTGAATGTTTTGAGTGTTCCATTTTGTTCTACAATAATTGATGAGTTTAGTGTATTGAGGACATTTTGACAATTCTAAAAAGTGCAGTTTGTCGAATGGTTAAAGGGAGATGAGATAAAATCATGCAGTGCACAAATTGTTTAGTTTTTATTATTTATATGAATTTAGGACCGTAGATATTATCCAATGTGTCTGCAAACAGCGTCAATATAGATATGCACACACGCACACGCACAGTACAAAGAAGAACTCGACAAGCACAATGTAAAGAATTTAAAAGAGAAAGTCCAAGGAAAAGCAGAACTTCATTTAAGGAAGCTCGACTGGTTTGATTTCAACCACTTATTTCTTTAAATGTTCGGTCGGTCCCGCAGTTACATGTTCCAGCCACGTGTTCCATTATGTTGGGCCTCTGATGGCGCCACCTTTTGGCTGAATTTAGTCCTGCAACCTTCATACATTAGTCTCCCCTGGTTAGAGCTCTGGGTCTGACTCCACTGTTGTTTTATCCATTAAGAGAGAAGGAGCAAGTCCATATATCACTTTAAAAAAAACCACATACACAAGATTTGACGTCTGATGTCTTTCCAGGTGGTTCTTTCACCAGTTGCTGCATCTTTATGGTCTGTAAAAGTTGCCCACGTGGATGGATCATGTTCAGTCCATCTTGTATTTTTCGGCGGTGATGTAAATTTGTTTAGTTGTGGTTTTCCTGCTCTAACAGGAGGCGGTGAGTAGGTCATCGCTGACTCTGCTAAAGTGTGTCTTTGAAAGTTTGTCTTTTATTCTCCCTTTGCCAGAATCCATCATTTTAAACTTTTTTGCTTCAGATTTCTGCAAAAAAAAGAAGCAATTTTCATTTTAAGCACAATAAAAGCTACGGTTGTATTATGGCCCTTTTTGACATGACATGAAAGCAAGCCTGAATGATACTGAACTAATAAAGATGTCGATTAGGGCGACAGTAGCTCAGTTGGTAGAGCATTGGCCTTTGAGCCTGAAGGTTGTGGGTTCGAGCCTGACTTTCACCATCGACTCCCACTGTCAGCTGTCGTTGTGTCCTTGGGCAAGACACTTAACCTCTGGGAACACCAGCCACAGTGGGGCGGCTGCGGCTGTAAAGTGCCAAACTGCCGTTGTGTCCTTGGGCAAGACACTTCCCACATTAGAATCTGGTGTGTGTGTGAATGGTTGGTGGTGGTCGGAGAGGCCGATGGCACAGACTGGTTGCCTCGCTTCTGTCAGTGTGCCCCAGGGCAGCTGTGGCTACAGTAGTAGTTTATCACCACCGTGTTTGGAGAGAAAGAAGTGTCCAAAAAAGCGCTATATAAAACCGATGCATTATTATTTTTATTATTAGATGTCGATCAATGTGACTTAAAAGCAAAATTATAACATATCAGTGAGAAGTGTGTATTTATGTTAAACCTTTTTTATTTTAGTGACTGAACACAACTGTTTAGGTCTTTTCCTTTCAACACATTGTAGTCTTTCCTCCATCCTCCTTAAACAGGCCAAGTCTGTTTATCCTTTTAGCTCCAGACCAAAGTATTGCTTTAAAACCTGAATAGAAAGTTGCAGTGACCGGTCGAGGCTGAGCCACGGCCGACCTGTGTTTGTTCTTTATCTTTGAATTCTAAACACATTTGTATTTGATGATTCATTATAAAAATCTCACTGAGTTTTTGAGTTTTTCTTTAACAATGTCTAAGGAAAAAGGCCTCGACATTTATCCTTCCTTGTCCTGATTGTCATGATTAACCAGTTCTTCTATGGACCAATGACTTTTAGGTGTTTTATCATTTACAATATGTTCTAATCTGCTCTTGGTGAAAAGCAACTCTGTGATGCCCTGTTGGGATTTTGGGGATTTCAAAAACACATAGAATTTGTTGTCCATAAAACTCACATAAGTTTTATAGACTATAATTTTATAGAATTCTACACATAAAAAAATAATAATATATGTGTAGGCTACGGTTATCAGTTTGAATTTGGCACAATTTGATTATTTCGAAAAGAAAGAAAGCCGGCCAGTCTTTAAAATGGTGACCCTAACTCTGGTGAGAGAAGAGTCACTTTTGAACTCGTAGATTGATACGTGTTTGTGCAAATGAGTCCTCCAACAGCTTTGCGTTTTGTTGTGATGTTAAATAATTAAGCCATTGAATTAATTGCAAAACCCTTACGTATCTCTTCTCACTGCCGGAGTCTCTGTAAAAATAGACAGGGACCATGTTGCCAGGTCTGAATTGAGCTGTAGGCCTTTGCGGTGCAGTTTGTAGCTGGAAGACAAATGGACCAAGGGGTGCGACTGGGGCCCATCCGTCAGAGCGTCAGTCTTTCTGGGGATCAAAGCCACGGGAGGAGGGCCCCATCTGAACCATGATTCAACCACCAGAGACTGGATCCTGGCGGCTTCGCTCCTCGGCTCGCCTGTCAGCCGGCTGATGAGTTAGGCCTGTGGAGAGCTGCCGTGGAGAGCTGCCGTGGAGAGCTGCCGTTGAGAGCTGCCGTGGAGAGCTGCCGTGGAGAGCTGCCGTGGAGAGCTGCCGTGGAGAGCTGCCGTGGAGAGCTGCCGTGGAGAGCTGCCGTGGAGAGCTGCCGTGGAGAGCTGCCGTGGAGAGCTGCCGTGGAGAGCTGCCGTGGAGGACTGCCGTGGAAAGCTGCCGTGGAGGGCTGCCGTGGAGGGCTGCCGTGGAGGGCTGCCGTGGAGAGCTGCCGTGGAGAGCTGCCGTGGAGAGCCGCCGTGGAGAGCTGCCGTGGAGAGCTGCCGTGGAGGACTGCCGTGGAGGGCTGCCGTGGAGAGCCGCTGTGGAGAGCCGCCGTGGAGAGCCGCCGTGGAGAGCTTCTGTGGAGAGCTGCCGTGGAGAGCCGGCGTGGAGAGCTTCTGTGGAGAGCCGCCGTGGAGGGCTGTCGTGGAGAGCCGCCGTGGAGAGCTGTCGTGGAGCGCTGCCGTGGAGAGCTTCTGTGGAGAGCCGCTATCCCAGTGGGGGCCGCCGTGGAGAGCCGCTATCCCTGTGAGTTCCCTCAGTTTCTACAAATGCAGTGGAGGATGAGTGGGATGCTTACTCATGTTTCCCCGCTCCTCATCCCTCTCCTCTGCTCTATCACCTGACCTTGTACACACAGGACTATCCAATTTGTTGTTATCTGCCACCGCTCGGAGCCGGCCCCTTATCCTTCACTATCTCCTTCCGTTCTATCTGGTCCGATGAATCACCGCCTTTATTCTTTATTTTTCAGTTTCCAATTTTGAAGAGCAGGATCAGAGGACCGCCTGTGTGTAGCGCTCGCAGTATTAATGTCCCTGCCACGGCACGCTTCCACAAGCTATATCTCATTTCTGCCCTTATCAAGCACAAACCTAAATAATGCGGAGATACTTTCTTCTGAGAGATTCGAGAGAGGCGGAAAAACAAATGGCACCGAGCCACAGAGCATTTGGTGATTTATCATTCAGGAGGTGTCCGTCTCACACGCCTCGACATGATGCTAATAATAATGTCAAAGCAACTTGTTTCCCAAGTGTATGGACGAGACAGTCTGACTTGTGATTTCTTCATGAAGTCTTTGAGTCTGGGACGGATTTCAGGTCAGAGCGTCTCTCTGGACTCTCTTGTTTGTTTGAAGAAGCCACGTCGGGTCACACTGGCTTTATCTGTCTTTCTCAGTTTAATTCAGTATTCTTGTAATTATTCTTGGAGAGGGAGAGAAGGAGGGAGGAAGGAGAGGGAGAGAAGTCACACAGGCTTTGTGTCTTTCTCAATTCAATCAAATGTATTCTTGTACAGCCCTGAATCACAGCTGTAGTTTTCTTGGAGGACTTTACAAAACTGTTGATTTCACAACCACAGATCAGAGAATCAAACAGTTCAAACTCCAGAAATGCAAGAGAAAACACGTTGGTGTTGGTCCAGAAGGGAATGACCGATGTCCATAAGTGTTGTTGACAGTTATCTGGACACATTTTACACACAACAGAAACTCAACGTTGCTATTTTGGCAATTTTTCTCACAAGCCCTGATTAAAACAGTATGTTGAAACGCATTGGCCGATTAAACAAAAACTTTTTGCATCCGAATGCCTCTGACTCATTTTCTCAGACATTTTGTTCGCCCTATCGCAGGCATCGAGCCCCTGAGCCCCTGAGCACTCCAAGCCTCTCCTTCTTCTAATACATTTCGCAATATTGATAATCACATTATTTGTGATCCGATACACTTCAATCAGCCAAGTCTTTTAAGATTTCAGAGGTTTTTAGGATGCCAAAACCTGAAATGTGTGTAGGTAGGATTCATCTTGAAACGCAGCAGCTCAGTGGATGCTTTTATATCCCGCTCTGCAGCAGAAGACTCACATACTGTAACGATCCACAAAACCTGCACTCTGAGTTTGTGCTACAGTTGTCATGTTTAATGTATTCACCCTGACTTTTAACTCTATAAACTGTTCTATCGCTTTAGTGCCTCTTACCACCTGGTCTTGGCTGTCTGCTCCAGTATCTATGTCTGGAGGATAAAGAGGGGAGAGAGAGGGAGGAGAGGAGAGAGAGAGAGAGGGGAGAGAGAGAGGGGAGAGAGAGGGGAGAGAGAGAAGAGAGGGAGAGAGAGGGAGGAGAGGAGAGAGAGAGAGAGAGAGAGAGAGGGGAGAGAGAGGGGGGAGAGAGAGGAGAGAGAGGAGAGAGAGGGAGAGAGAGGGGAGAGAGAGAAGAGAGGGAGAGAGAGGGAGGAGAGGAGAGAGAGAGAGAGAGAGAGGGGAGAGAGAGAGGGAGAGAGAGGAGAGAGAGAGAGAGAGGAGAGAGAGAGGAGAGAGAGGAGAGAGAGGAGAGAGAGGAGAGGAGAGGAGAGAGAGGAGAGAGAGGAGAGAGAGGAGAGAGAGGAGAGAGAGGAGAGAGAGGAGAGAGAGGGAGAGAGAGAAGAGAGAGGAGAGAGAGGGGAGAGAGAAGAAGAGAGAAGAGAGAGAGGGGAGAGAGGGAGAGAGAGAGAGAGAGGGGAGGAAGAGAGAGGAGAGAGAGGAGGAGAGAGAGGAGAGAAGAGAGAGAGAGAGAAGAGAGAGAAGAGAGAGGGGAAGAAGAGAGAGAGGAAGAGAGAGAAGAGGAGAGAAGAAGAGAAGAGGGAGAGAGAGAGAAGAGGAGGAGAGAGAGAAGAGGAGAGGAGACGAGAAGAGAGAGAGAGAAGAGAGAGGGGATGGAGAGGAAGGAGAGAAGAGAGGAAGAGGAAGAGAGGGAGAGAGAGATGAGAGGAGAGAGAGAGGGAGAGAGAGAGAGGGGGAGAGGAGAAGGAGGAGAGAGAGAAGAGAGAGAGAGAGGGGAGAGAGGAGAGAGAGAGAAGAGAGAGGAGAGAGAAGAGAGAGAGGAGAGAGAGAGGAAGAGAGGGAGAGAGAGAGAGAAGGGGGGGAGAGAAGAGAGAGAGAGGGGGAGAGAGAAGAGAGAGAAGGAGAGAGGAGAGAGGGGAGAGTGGAGAGAGAGAGGAGAGGGGGGGAGGAAAGAGGAGATGGGGAAGAGCGAGGGAGGAGGAGGGGGAGTAGGGGGAAGGGAAGGGAGGGGGGGAGGAGGAAGGAGGAGAGGGAGGGGGAGAGGGGAGGGAGGGAGAGGGGGAGGGAGGGGGGGGGGGAGAGGAGGAGGGGAGGGGAGGGAGAGAAGAGAGAGGGAGGGGGGAGAGGAGAGGGGAGAGAGGGAGGGGCGAGAAGAGGCGGGGAGGGGAGGGAGGGGGGGAGAGGAGGGGAGAGGGAGAGGGGAGGGGGGAGAGGGAAGGGCGGGGGGGGGAGGGGAGGAGGGGAGGGGGAGGAGGAGAGAGGAGGGAGGAGTAGGGGAGAGGAGAGGGAGAGGGGGAGAGGGAGAGGGGCGAGAGGGGGGGAGAGAGGGGAGAAGAGAAGGGAGGGAAGGGGAGGGAGGAGGGAGGGAAGGGAGAGGGAGCAGGGGGATGGGAGAGCGGGGGGGGGGGAGACAGGGGAGGGAGGGGGCTGTAGAGAGGGAGAGAGCAGGGGGGGAGCGAGGGGGAAAAAGAGGGGAAGAAGGTGGGGCAGAAGATAGCAGTAATGCGGTAGGGAGGGAGCGAGAAAGGTGGGGGAGGAGTGCGAAGAGGAAGGGGAGAGTGGGGAGAGAGGGCGGGGGAAGCGGGTGGAGGCGGGGGGGGGCGGCAGGAAGTTGGGAGGGGAGAGGGAGAGACAGAGAAGAGAGGGGAGAGAAGGGGGCGGCCGAAGGGTATGGGGGGGGACGAGGAGAGAGGGGGGGGAGGAGCGAGGGAGTAGGGGGGGAGGGGGCGGGACGACCCAGCGCAGGTCAGAGACAGGTCAGTGGCCTGCGAGGCGACGGTGGGAAGAGGGCCAGAGGGGCGCGAAGAGAGGGAGGGGGAGAGAGTTGGGTCCGGGGGAAGAAGTCGAGAGGGGGGGGCGATGGCCGGCAGCAAGGAGTCAGACAGAGGGAGGGTAAAAGACCCACGGGAGGGCACGGAGGAGAAGAAAGGAGAAGGAGAGCAGAGGCAAACGGGGAGAGAGAGTGCGACTGAGGAATATGAGAACGCACGATAAAAACGCAAATCAAACACAGAAATAAAAAAGGAGCGAGGGGGGGAGAGGACAGACAAGCGCAGAGAGAAGGTGGGAAAAAACTAGACAACGACCAGACTGCGACAAACACTACGAAATAAAAAGACCAAGCAACGGGACGCGATACAACAACACACAGAAAGGAAAGAATAAAAAACGAAGGAGCGCCATATAAGGCTGAGTAAGAGAACGCAGAAAGAAGGTGGAGGGCAGGAGAGGGGCGGAGAGAGGGTGGAGGAAGAGGAAGAGAGAGAGGACCAGAAGGAGGAGAACACAAGCGGGATACGGGCAGGAGAAGGCGAGGAGAGACAAGACTATGGGAGATGCTCGACGGACACACAGCGAGAGAGGGGGGAAGAGGGCAGACGCTAGAGCGTGTAGGGTCAGAGAGAGGAGAGCAGGAGGAGAGGTAGGGACGAGCGAGAGGAAGGAGAGAGGGGGAGATAAGGAGGAGAAGGAGGCATAGTGAGACAGGAGACGAGAAGAAGGGGAAGCTACGGAGAAAAGAAGAGAGAGTCACTGTGGGGGGTGGAGGGAGGGGTTGACTGGGGATGTGAGGTCGCACGACGAGCACATAGAGGAGCGCAGGGGAGGACGGGACAGAGAGAGGCGCCGGCGGGGGAGCAGAGGGGAGAGAAGCGGGGGGCTGGAGCAAGGGGGGGGAAGAGCAGACGCACACGGGGAGCAGAGAGGGGTCGGGAGCGACCCAACGGCCAGTCATGCATGCCGCAGGGGTGTGCTCGGGTGAGTAGACGATAGTCTGGAGGGCTGAGACCTCTACGTGCGCAGGGCAGTTTGGGGGGGGCAGACGGCCTAAGGCACAGAGCCGGCGAGCAACAACGGTGGGGGGTGGTAGTGACGGTGGTGCACGGGGGGCAGGGCCTGAGCCGGAGGGCGAGGGTTGCCTGGTACGGGGGCAGTGCGCGGAGGGGGGACCCGGAGCGTGCGTGCTGGGCCGGGACGAGATCCGGTGGGTGGGTGGGGGTGGGGGGGGTGGGGGGACGCGCAGTACGGACCGAGACATAAAGCGCAGCCAGGTGCCGCAGGGAGATGGTCTGTGGGGGGACGCAGGGACGCCAAACACCACGAATCTCCCAAATAGCGGAGTACGGGAGGACGGGGGGAGTAGTGCGGTTGACCCACAGTGGCGGGGAAGCGGTGCTCAGGGGACCAGCGGGTTCGCGGGGGGGGTGGTGCTGGGGACAGGCGTAAGGGGGTGTGGGGATGGGGGGACACCGGCAGGGGCGGCGGTGCGACACCACGACGCGGGGAGGCACTCGATGGCGTGCGGGGTGGGCAGACCTTGGGCCGCGGATGTGCGCGGTACTGGTGCAAGGCGTCGAGGGGTCGAGGGGGGGGTTGACGAGGGTGGGGCAGGCCCAGTTGAGTCCGGTGCGGACCAGGGTGGCCTGGGGGGCAAGGCCATTGCAGGGAGGCGTGGGTGGTGAGCGGATGGCGGAGGGCGTGGGGGCGGGGAGGGGGCGTCGGGCACAAGCGGAGGGGTGGAGGGGGAGGGAGGTGTATCACGGCGGGGGGTCTGAGCGGCGGCGCAGGGGGACCGCCGCCCAGTCTGGCGCCCCCCCGAAACAAGCTAGCAGGTAGGGGCGCGCCGGGGGACAGACGGACCCCTGTACACAGCTGGGGGGGGGGCACCAGCAGTGTGGGGCCCACCTCCGGCGGGCGGAGGCGTGGGGGGGGAGGGGGGTTGTCGCGGTGTGTCATGAGGTGCCTGGGAAGGGGCGTCCGCGCGGGGGGGGGACATGTCACGGGCCGGTGTGGGCGTAGGGTCGCGACCCACAAACAAAACACGGGGCGAGACAACCACAACTGGGGGCGGGGGGGGTGCGGGCGGCGGGTGGTGCCCAGCACGGTGGTGCTGCGAAGGGGAATGGCGGGAGACGGCTGGGGAGTCGGGACCCGAGAGAGGTCGGGGTGTTGCGGGGACACAGGGGGTCGTGGGGGTAGGGGTGGCGGGGGGAGTAGGGACGGGGCACGGCGGGGTGGTGGGCGGGCTGACGAGGTTTGGTGCGGGCGCAGAGGGCGTGGGGCCGAGGCAGGGCGGGGAGGTAGAGGGGGCGTGCGAGGCGGGGAGGGGGGTCCAGGGGCGCCGGTAGGTGATGGAGGGATGTGGGGATGTTAGGGGGTGGGTGGGGAGGGGGGTTTCACCAACGTGGCCGATGGCCAACGGGGCATGGGGTCGCGAGGCGGGCTCAGCCGGACGTAGGTGCGCGCAGCGGAACAGGTGGACGAGCCAGGCAGGGCAGGGAGGCGGGGGGAGGCGGCAGGGGCAGGCAGCCCCGGGCGGGCAGGGGGGAGCAGGTGCAAGGCGACACGGGTACGGGGCGAGGGGGCAATAGCTCAAAAAAGCCTTCTATGCTGTTGCTTGTTATACGTGCTGTGGAGGTGATAGTGTTTTTGATTCCTTGTACATGTCATCGAAAAACTGTGCGAACTCATTACACTAAGATTTAGAGGAAATTTCTTGAGGGGCAACTTTACAGGGGGGGTTCGTTAATCTACCAAACTGTTGAAAACATTAACACGAAAATTGTTACTGCCATCCTCCAATAATGTCAGAAATAATAATTTCTCTAGTTGCTACGTAGAACCCGGTTTAAATTCACCCAACATCTTTTAAAGATTTCATAATCGCCCTGGAAATTGGACTTTCGCCACATCCTGGTTCGGCCCTCGGCACTCTTGCTTCTGTGCCCTAACGAGTTCCTTCGTCCCATGGGGCCTTTTTCTTACTGGTAACTAATTTTAACCTTCACAGGAGCACAGGAGTCAGAACAGTCAGAACACTGGTGGTGAAGGAGATTCATACAATTCATACCGTAGAGCATGGAGTTCTCAAATTTAGCATTCCATTGAACAGTTCACTTGTGTTTTCATGTATGTGTCTTCCTTCTAACAGTTGTAAATTCAGCTTGTGGTTTGCTAGCATAAAACATGATCAAAAAAATACACAGAAATGATCTGACAAAGCAACTATCCACTACTCATTAACATTGTACCATTAACCCCATTGTAATTAGCAGGTCAAGAGTGTGCCCCTGCTGTGGGTGGGGCCACTCACGTGCTGAATTAAACCAAGGTCTCAAATACAGAAGCCTTGCTCCTTTGCATTTCTGTCATCAACATTACAACATGTACATTTAAAATCCACCTGTAATAACTAAAACTATCAAATCTGTGCACTTACGATGAAAGTAGTTCAGTAAATGGTCATAAAATCGCAACATGACTGTGGTGGCCTGTACTGGACAATGAAAAGAGTAGAAAGATTGCTTTGTTCCATTTTAAAAGGAATATACTCAAAACCGATTGACAAATTTCCAAGGGGCATTCTATGGGAGACAAAGTGCTCTCTAAAACTGCAGCTATGCTCCCCCTTTTGTTTTCTCGTCTATTTCGGATTCGAATTAAAATTGGGTGGTGGTGCTTCTATTAGAACTGCATTTCTGTATATTTGGTCGAGCCATGTCCGTTTCAGCCATAGCTAAATCAAGATCATAAGAAGTGATTAAATAAAAAATTATTAATTAAAAATGATTTGTTACATAGAGATCTGACATTAAGCATAAGCAAGTTTAAAAATAACGTCAGAGAAGATTAATGTGGTGATTGGATTTCTACAGGGAACAAGAAATTAGATTTGCAGAGTTGGACGTTCTAACTGCTGTCCTGTTTTGATTTCGTTTTTTAGAATTTAAAAACATTTTTGAGCTGGTGCGAGGAACACAACACCAGTCTCAATTGGCCTAATAAGTGAAAAACCCTTGTTTGTTGTTCTTTAGCTCCCAGAGTCAGAGGGAGACGGTCAGCACAGTTCAGTGTTGGACTTGGTAATGCACAGCCAGAGACAGGAAGCAGTGTTTGCACCGTTTTTTGTACTCACCGGTGCTGGTGAGCAGGAGGCGGGGGGTGCGGTGGGGTCCGAGGGGGCTAGATGTAAAACAGTCACGCCCTCGGGGAGACGCCTGAACAACATAACGTATGTAATCCATCAACAGGCTGCGTACCGTATTGTTTGGTGTAATCCGTCTGGCCGAATAGGCTTCGTAACGTTTCCAGAAAAGGGCAAAGTTATTCACAAAGAACAAAGTTTTAAAGAAGCTGGCATGTAGCCTGAAGCCACACATGCAAGCCGCCACAACACGACGTAGAGGCAAGTCACTCTGTTTACAGTATGGATGTGGACCAGAAATAAAAATCAGATAGGCCCGGAGGATTGAAGGCAGGGTGGAACAGATCCATAAAATGTTTTCTTCGTGACTTCTGATCTGCTGTAAGTTTCATGTCGTTAATTCCCACATGCACGACTACCTTGGAAACGGTATCAGGCAGGGGACCTGAAGAGGAGGAGGGAGACGGATGAGCAGGTTGGAACAGTAGCTCCGGGATACAGAGAGTGACGCGGTAAGAAGCGGGCGTGGTCTCACGATGGAATCTCAATAATCAGAGTGGTCGGGGCGAAGAGTGGCCTCGGAGAAGGCGCTCGGTGGACGGAACAGCGGTTCCACCCGAAGCAGGACCCCGAGCCTGAAGCGCCGTCGAAACTATGGAGAGGAGGATGCTGGGGTGCTGACTATCAAGCTAAGGCGGACCCACGCTGTGTGCTCGGGGACGCTGGACGCGGTAGAGAGGGGCTGGCTCTGGGCGCTGCTGATGATCCGGTGGAGGTGAGCGGTGGTGATGATGGCTCGGCTACCCCCGTCTGAGTCAGCTGCAACTGGGGTGTCAAACGAAGGGGAACAGGCCAAACATGGCTGGAGGGACCGCTCTTTCGCCTGAGGACTGCTTCCTTTAGGAGCGTTTTCCTCGCAGTGGACTTGGGATCCTCGAGCAGTAGGAGTAACACTGCCCCAGTGTCCAGGGATTCTGCTTGAGGGGGCCGGGATGTCGGTGGGAGAGGGCTGGCATAGCGGTTTGCCGACGCAGGACATGGGCCACGGCGCAGAGAGATGCTCTCGGAATCCGCGTGGCTCGTTTTTCGGAAGCGGGCGCTTAGGTTGTAGAAACAGGAGGGTCCGGAGCTGACGGATCTCTCCCACAACGCAGTGTCACAATATGCAGCGCTCAGCGACATCAGCCGTGAGTGCTGCCCAACCAGCGACTTCAAAAAGTTGGGACACTAGAGATTGTTTCTCATTCAACTCTGCGGTAGAGACGAAGGACTTTTTCTTTTCGTTTAGATCTGCAATGGTGGAACGGTCGCTCTCACGGAGCTCCAAGGTGAGGGCGACTAAATTGTGCATATTTGAGCAAATTTCATTGTCACTTTCCTAGTCCTCGTTAGCTTGTGTTAGCCTCTGTGCTACTAGTGGGTTTCAGTCGGGACTAAGTGCTATTTGCTGAAAACCACTGAAATTAAAAAGACTAAAACACCTCAGGTTTATTAAAATGAACAATAAAAACGCGCTAAAAAGTTGTTAAAAAGTTTACTAAAAAGGTGCCAGAGCAGCCCTGCAGGTACTGCTTACTTTTGACAACACCTGCGTTGATGAGTTGTGACGTGTGTTGCGAGTCATAATGCTGGCCACTAGTGGAAATCAGTACTGTAACTGATGTTGTATGAACATCAGTAGGAACATTTTATTTTGACACTTTCCTGTCTCAACCGGAAGAAGTCGAGTGGCTCGCGCAAACATCTGACCGGAAAAAACTTTACAAAGTGTATGGACGTTTCACCAGTGGTTTAGACAAACCGGTCATAAGAAACTGCACTATATGGCATAAAAGGACAAAGACAAAGTTTAGCTACAGTTGAGATAAGAAGGAACAAGGTTTTATGGAGGATTTTTCTTTGTGTAAACAATTGTAAAGTTTCTTTAATGTGTAACTTAAATAGCAAAAAGTAATGTAACGGGTTAAAATGTATTTGATGCTAGATAGTATTTGGACATGATTGTAAGTTGATTTTCAGTTCTGAGTAGTTCCCAAAGTGCAAAATATAAAATGTTGGTCCAAACAACGTCTTGTGAAGAAGCACAATGCATTGAACAAACAAGAACACGTCATCATCTCAATTCTATTCTATTCTAGATGTAATCTGATTCAAGTTACTAAATATTAGTTTTTTACTGATTTAGCTACACTTTTTAAAATAAAAAAGTAATATAATTTTGAATAGTTAAATGGTACACTACTATTAAAGTCATAGTAATGTACTTTATAGTAATGTTACAAACTTTGTATGTAAAGTTATGGTAAGTACCTTAAAGTATTCACATTATATTACATTTTTTGGAAGATTTTAACTCTGAAAAGCTGTTTGCATTTCAGTTCACTAAAAATTCAAGGACAAATAAATATGCTTTACAAATTTCATTGTAAGAAAAATTTCAAAATTTACATTATCGCTTTTAAATATACAATATGTCTATTTTTGGAGCACAACAAATTCAATGCACTGTCAAATTTTAAGAAAAAAGAGCAGATTTGTACATCTGATTTTGAATTTTTAATGGACTCATTATCAATTTCATATTTTTTAATTTCAAAATTAAAAAACAGATTTGATGCATAACGTTTCAAGAGCTTGATTTTAAACGTTAATTAGCTGCTAAAAAAATAACAATTCACATGACACATCCAGTGTTCTGACGAGTTGTGTGCTCTGTCAGTTTGCACCTGCGCAAATGACTTTTCTCTCTTTCAACTGAAGTTGAATACTCCCGTTGCGTCTCTCCGTTTAATATGGATACCTTAGTTTAACATTGCTGGTCTCTCCGTTACTATGGATACATTATGTTTAACATTGCTGTCTCTCCCGTTACTATGGAATGTAGCCCATCTAAAATGTATCCAATTTTGTGTTTTTCATCATTTCAAATGTATGAAATTTTGCAAAATGCAATATGTAATGTAATCAGGTGTATTCACTGCTACTTATTTCAAAGTGTAGTACTTGTTGCGTCCCAGTTGAGTTTAAGTTTGAAGCCAGAGAACTGATGGTTTAAAATGAAGTTTATTTTGTCCTTCCTATATTCATATAACCGAGTTAAGTGCTAAGAACAGAACTGAAAATCAACTTCAATCATTGGTCCAAATACTATCTAGCATCAAATACGATTGTTAACCGTTACATTACTTTTGCTATTTAATTTACACATTTAAAGAAAACTTACAATTGTTTACACAAATAAAATCCATCCATCCCTTGTTCCTTCTTATCTTCAACTGTAGCTAACTTTGTCTTTGTTCTTTTATGCCATATTAGTGCAGTTTCTTATGACCGTTTGTCTAGCACCAGCTGTGTGAAACGTCCAAAACGTGTAAAGTTTTTCCGTCTGATTGTTGCGCGAGCCACTTGACTTCCGGTTGAGACAGGAGTGTCAAAATAAAATGTTCC